ATCTAAAGTCTTTTCCACAAATGTCACAAATGTAAGGTTTCTCTCCAGTATGTATTCTTTCATGATTCCTGAATCCAGAAATTGATCTAAAGTCTTTTCCACAAATGTCACAAATGTAAGGTTTCTCCCCAGTATGTATTCTTTCATGATTCCTGAATCCAGAAATTGATCTAAAGTCTTTTCCACAAATGTCACAAATGTAAGGTTTCTCCCCAGTATGTATTCTTTGATGTATTTTTAAGCTATTATTACATCCAAGTTGTTTTCCACAAGTTGCACAACTATAAGGTTTCTCCACAGTATGTATTTGTTCATGTTTTCTCAATTCATTAATAAATCTAAAATGTTCACTACAAATTTCACATCTGTACAGTTTCTTTCTGTACATTATTCTCTTGTGTTGTTTTGTGTTATCCAATGTTACACTATCCTTTTGACATGTAACATAACTGTATGGTTTATCATCACCTTCATGTACATTAGATTGTTTTACATTATCCACTGTTACACTTTCCTTTCCACATGTTACATAACTGTATGGTTTATCATCACCTTCATGTATATTAGATTGTTTTATGTTATCCAATGTTACACTTTCCTTCCCACATGTTACATAACTGTATGGCTTATCATCACCTTCATGTATATTAGATTGTTTTATGTTACTTCCTTTTAAATTTGTTTTTCCACAAACATCACTATTTAATTTTGAAGATTTCATAACTTCTTTAAATGAATCTTCTTGTTTTAAAAGATGATAACCAGGAAATCGACTTCCACAACAGATGTTCACACTGGTATTTACGTCTAAAATAAAAATATACGATGCAACAGATATAACTCACACATAACTAGGTTTAACCCTCTCGCTAAAGGTAGGTCAAAGTGCATACGTCACGACTTTTTTGAGAGTTGAATTCAACAATTAATGAAACTACTTTGTTATCAATGAAATAGACAACAAAACATGACTAATAAATCAAATCTTAATATTGCTTGAGTGTTAAGTTCTTAATATCCTAAATAAATATTTAAAAAAAAAAATCTCATTATTCCTTAGTGTGAGAGTTGTGACATTTGTTCTCTAGGTCTTCCCTCTTCTCTAAGTTATTTACCACCTGTCTGAGAAGTATGGAATTTAACATAATTACTCATTATAATATAGAAATTACTTTGAAAAAATCTAATTTTTAAAGCCTTCAATATCATTTGTTCAAGCAGTCAAATTAGAATATCAGATAGATTTGTGACATCAAATTTCATGAAGAAACACTTAACAAATAAAAATAATTACAATACAATTTTCATAGTTTAACACTTTAGAAATACTTTCATACTTATTTCAAATTATTATTGAAAACTTAAAATAAAAATAACATACCTTGTTCTAGAGAAAGGCTTACATTAAACTATGTCTTACATCAACTGTGGAACTATGATAGTACAGTGTCACAACAACCAACTGTACTTTCAATCATTATTCTAATGTTTTTTTTATGAAAAGAGTTCCCTTTTGAAAAATGTACAACAAGTGTATCTTTCTACATCAATAAAATGACAAAATAAATTTTCACAAATTTTTTTGAAAAATACAAAATGTGTTGGTAGTTTTGTGAAAAAAAAAGATTTTTAGAAAAACCTTAAAAAGTTCTTATTTCAAACAAATTACGTGTAAAACCCCCTATTACCCTTATTTCTTAAAAACATTGTAACTTTAAATAATCATAACATATCACTTCTAAAGTTGAAAAACGAAAATGTACGTAACAGAAATAAAGTTATACATTGACTAAATTTGCAATGAAGATGTAATAACCATCTAAATTTATGAATTTAAAAGAAAATTCCTGTTCCTGAATTCCTTTCTTTCCTTGAGAAGTGTGATAAAATCAAACATTGTTTACTGACATCAATATTCTAAAGTTCCTGTTCAAATAATCTGTATTCAAGTTAAATAAATAAATATAGAAATACTAAGACCTTGACAAATGAAACCGGATTAAATATATTGTTTATTCTTTTACCAAGTTTGGGTCACATTATCTTTACTAGAAACATAAAGATTTGGTTCAACATGAAAAAGTTAGAATCAAGGGGTACATGACTACCAAGACCCTAAAACCTAGAGGGTGTAAATATCTAGAAAATCAATCATCACAATACATTTTCTGTACATGTTGACATATTAATGTATAGAAACTGGTTCCAACCATTACACACACAGTCTATACATAGAAAACTACAAAGATAATAGAAACTACTTAGTTTC